TGATAGCGTGCATGGTCGCACCGGAGAGTGTGGAGTGCTTTAATTGCTGAGCTCTAAAGCTTGACTGATGTGTTGAGAGATTGTAGATACAATGCAGAGCAGGTTGATTGTGAACAGCTACCGCAATTTGAAGTAGTCCCAAGTACTCATAGACATCAGAGAATAGACGATTAGTTAAACAAGGTCACTAGCTTGGTTTCCAAGTAGTGGCTTGTTTTCTATAAAGCGTGGAAGAAACATTGGATGGTGCATAGTCATGCGAGATGTTCTTGTGTTTAGTCTGACTGAAGGATAGCTATGGATACATTTGTCGTTCCAAGATTTGTGTAAACGAAGCTTTCCAGTGCTCAAACACAGAAGGCATGCAAACCAAAGAATATATGCTACACCAGGGTTTGATCTCGCGTTGTGATGTTGTGGTCTAAATCTGTGTCTATGAATGAGCTTCGGAATCAAACTTTTACTACAATTGATAATGTTTACTCGGGTACCAACTGTCGACCTTACTTAGAAACAAGTTGGACTTAGAAGACGGGAATGTACTCGATTGGTGTCAAGAACCGGATAGAGATAGCCTAACGGAAACAGTTCGCAGAAATAGGTTATTCTAGAAGCGGCATGCATAGTAGGCCACGCCGTCGACGGCAATGCTCTCGGGACGGCGGGCCAGATTCCGGGGCGGTAAATCAAGCGACGACATCCAGCCCTAATTATGTTAACTGTCGATGTAACAGAAAATCCCTACCAGATGACACATTCACGCCGTGCAACCCCTCCCCGCGGCCTTATCAAGACCCCTGGAGAAACGCATGGTGAGGAGGGCCTAGCCTCTAAGATTTCGACGCGAAATCTCTTGACCGAGAATCCTTCCTTACAGGGTCGGTAGAAAAGAAATGGGTACAACAGCCAGAAACGTGACGTAGTGTTCTTGGCTCGAGTCAACATGATCATCCCACGGCAGGATGTGGACGAATCCGAGAGCTCTGGCGAGAGCCCCTCCCCCTCGCCACACTCACCGGTCTCACCGGTCGACCAAGCCTGTCCAAGCCCTCCTGCACAGATATGTAAAATCTAACCAGTCAAGCGAGGAGCCTCGATGTGATATGGGGAGAAGCAGGGCCGGAGACAAAGCCCCGTCGTAGTCTTCTCGTCCTTCAGCGGCACACGAGAGAGGGCGACTGTCTTGGAGGCGACGAGCTGCAACAGTGCATGGTTTCTGGTCCATGCCAAGATGGCAGTAGCAACTGCTACTCGCAATACCGGCACGGCCAGGGCCGGACTTGAGTAATGGGCGTCGCGTCAGCACTGCGATATCCAAATGGATGCAATAAGCATGTACTGCCGACCGCACCAGGAAGACCACCGGCAACTTTCACGAGCCTGATAGCTCGAATGGAGATCGGATTCAAACCCCTCTTTCCTGTCCACTCTCCTTTCGACCATCGACGTCGTCTACCGGGGTCTTTCGGTCGAGGGAGGGGAGGGCATGAAGTCGTGGAGACGAGGAGTAGCTGTTTCGAGAACAAAGATGGGCCGTTTCTGCGCCAGCCTCCCGAGGTCTGGCTTCGTACGATCTGTAACGCTTGACTGCTGGGTTCCGAAAGCATGGCGTCTGTCAGGTACTGAACTGACCGCGGTTTTGCACAGCGAGAGGCAGAATAATACCTATTTACAGTCGTACAACGCGTGCATGTATGTCTCTGCGTGCCCGTCAGTCGCTTCCGAGTTCGCGATTTCCGTGCGCGGGGTTGCTCTTTCCTCACTAACACGACCATGGCCTGTTTCCGCAGGAGCATCGCACCCGCCCCTTCCACATTGGTCCAGAAGTCACTCATCGTCCATCCCAAAAGCTCCGTCTTCATTCTCCCCTTATCAATACGATTCGTGCTCCGACTACTAGCAGCTCGAATACCCTCCGCCGCCTCGGTTATTAAATCGACATTGTTGGCTCCCGAGACACTGGAAACCCCAAGGGTCCTTGTCGGAGCGGTGTGCGTTAGAGACAGAGTCCGCTTGTTCGCTCGTCCGCTCGTCTGCTCGTCTGCTGAACTCGACCGGTCGACTTTGACCTTGGCCTTGGCCTTGTTCGCCAAACATATCGGTCTGTCTGGGGTGATATGATCTCCGTAGCATCTGGGGTATCTGAGACATCTAAGGCTTCTGGAGAGCCGCGACGGCCATCGGTCCGGCCGCCCGGATGCCCATTACTCGATCGTCCAATATGGCCAAACAAGACAGCGATCTCAATTACCCCCAATCACCTAAAGGTCTAGTTCGGGGAAGACGAGGCCCGGCCAAGAAGTGCTGCTGCTGATAAGCCAGTCAGTCAGTCACCCGCTGACTCTCGTGCAACACCCGACTGATCGTCCTTCACATGGCTTGATTCATGCTCTTGGGTCCTGGCACCAAGGCAATCGGCCGGAATAATTCCAACCCAAATTCCAACGCTTGAGTCGCAAGCTACCAACGTTGCGTCGCATCCTGGGAGCAGAAGGTTCAGATGATTCATTCGCCTGGCCTGGGCAGAACCCACCGACCGGGAAGCCGACGACGCTCGCTACACCAACTATACAACGTTACGATGCACTGCCGGGCCTAGTGCGCTCCAATAGGCAGGACGCAACCGAGGAGGTGACTATACACGCACTATCTATTGGGGCGCTGAATCAAGTTCCCCAAATGCTGCGTAGGCAAAGTCCTCCGCGCTCCAGAAGGATATGCCGTTATCTCGACTAAGCACAGCATTCTGCAAACAACTGTACATGATTCGCGGCGAGCCGGTCATTTACACCTCGTACGCTGCGTCATCGTCGTGGCACGCGACTCAAACAAGCGATCGAACAGAACAGCAACCCGTTGGACGCCTCATCGCACCCGGGACGGCTCGGGACAGGGTCGCTGCAGAATAGCCCGACAGGGTTTGATGTACCTACGTAACCGATGCTGGCCATCGCCGACAATAGGCCGCGGCGAAAGTTGATCCATCTATCCCCGCCGCCATTTGCAAACGAGAAAGCCGAGGCGAAGCCAAGCGACGCGGATGACGAGCCCAAGGGCGGGCCGCCGTGAGCCCTGCCGCCTGTCAGCCTGTGTCGACTTTTGGAGAAAACGGCCGAGACAAAGCTCAACACCACGCAAACGAGGCGACAGAAGGGCAACCGGTTGGTTGCACATTCGATAGTGACTTGCCCGTTTTCTCGTACCCTTCGTTCACTTCTGTCGGCCGACCCGCCAGGACCGCTATCCTCTCTGCTCCTCTAATTTCACGCATGCCGCGTTAGGCCTTGGGCGAAGAAAGCACCGCCGATGGCCCAAGCAAGCACGAGTGATCCGTCAGTCCAGCACCCCCCAGTCCCGTCTCCACCGGGGAACAAGCGGCCGGTATCCCGCCGTCTCAAGATTTCAGACAGAACCAAGGACCAGGTTCTAGAAGGACGGGTCCAACCCCGACCCCGACGTGCTTGACTCTTGTCTTTCGGGGTGAAGTACGGATACATTTATTTGCAGGCTGTTGCGCAGGAAACCTGCCTGTTCACTGGCTGGTCGGCGAACCTCGGCGAGCGAGCCAACTGACGGCAAATTTCGGGTTGTGGCGCAAAACGTCTTCGGTAGTAGTAGTAGCAGCAGGGCCCCCCGGGCTGAAGACCAGCAAGATACATGAATCGCAGCAGTCGAGTTCTTGCAATCAGCGCGGCCCGGCCCACTCGTCCAAGAAGAGGACGATCAGCAGATTTCTTTCAGGAACGTCAAGAAGACCAGGGAGCTCGCTCCTGCCGTCTTTTGCCCGTTGTGTCATTGAGGCTCCGCACGACGTCGACCGACTCGTCACTGGTCAGCTATCAAATTTGGGGGGGGGGGGGGGTCGGAAATCCATGCCCTGGAGGTTTGCAACCTTCTGCTCCTCCGTCTTTCATACGTCCGTACGGATACAGACAGGCACGGGAGAGTAATTACTTTTGCCCCAGAGGCCCGGTTTCTGGGGAACCATCTTTACCCTTTGCTCTGCAGATTTTCCTGCTTGCGAGCATTCCAGGGGACACTGGTGCCCGAGTTCTGGGTTCTTGGAGCAGGGGCGGAGAGCAAAGAACTGAATCACAAGTCCGCAACGGCCACTGACTTCATAAGTCAACACTAGTGTAGAACAGTGTTGCTTGGCCTAGCCATCCGCCCGCCTGGCAACTCCGTCCGTCCGACCTACCTTGGCCCCGTTTGTCCTGCGCTCCGTGGGCTTATCCGTCATCGAGTGCCAGGTGGGAGAGCAAACATATGGGCAACAAAAGAACGGCAAGGCTAGAGCTCGAGCTACGCGATCCAAGTAACCAGTAGACAAAGAAATGGGAGAGGAGGAAAGAAAAATCCGAATGGGCTCGTACTGCGATACCGGGCGTCCCGACGAACTGGATGAGGGGCTGAGCGAGGCGTTTTTTTTTATGCCAATTCCTTGTTGTGGTAGTGTATATCGCAGCCATACTCCGTACTGGTTCATGAAAACCCGCCAAATCTTGGGCCGCCACGCCACGGAACCCTAGGAAAGACATCATAAGAAAGTCGAGCGAGTTGACGTTGTCGACGCTGACAGAGGTGTAGGTCACTGCCAACCCACCACGAGCTACAGGGCAGCGACCAACAAAACCAAGTTTCGAACGGTCGATTCCTGGGGCGATTGTTCGCGTGCCCCCCCCGTCTTGCCAGCACTAGGAAGTGGCTCCTATCATGTCGGAGCCAATAAAGGGGAGGAGGAGACATTGTGGAACGAGCTGTGACCAGCCTGCCCAGGCCCAAGTGGAAGCTTTGACGACACCAAATGAAGGGGAAACGAGACGGAAAAGCAAACAAAGTCAACGACACGACGCACAGGCAGCAGACAGGACAAGCGGATAAACAAACAAACAACCAAACAAATCGCAAACTGCCGTCAACTGGATGGGTTGCCTGTAAATTCGGACATTGGCAAGCCAAAAGGGGGGGGGGGGGGGGGGGGGGTCACTGTGACGGACGACGGACTACCAAAGGCCACACGCGCCAAGGCAAAGCGTCCGACGTGGATCTCTTTGCCGGGCTAAAGTCAGTCGTCGCCGACACCACGTCCTACAGAAACAGAAAAGACAGGGGCAATTGGAGTTGGAAGAACGCCATTTTCTTTTGATTACCTTGACTGGGGGTAGCCGTCCCGTTATGGATAGTGTGTGTCATTGCTACTGGGCAAGTTGGGATTGCTTGACCCTCGAGCACCCTCCGGCGACCACCGACAAGCGCACGCACACAAACGCAACATGCGTTGAGGGCCGGCAAGCGCAAAGGAGGGCAAACCAGCCAGTTGGACTCGGCGCGGCGAGCGCACTACGCTACCTAGAGCAGAGATCTGGGACGACGTGAGACATGGCGCCGAGTGGGAATACAAACCTTGGTGGATGTTTGGTGCGGGGGCGGTTGGAAGCCGGCAAAGCAAAGCAAAGCAAACAAACAAAAAACAAACATACCACATTGCACAGCACAAGACAGCAGGCAAAGCAGAGCAAAGCAAAGCAAAGCAAAGCAAAGCAAAGCAGAGCAGAGCAAGCAACCCACCACGGAACGAGCCAGGAGCAGTATCCAGCTGGTGCCCAGTGCTTCCTGTCCGTCTCCAAGGTCAGGTATCCTCCATTTGTCTAACTAAACTAGGTTGGCTAGACTCGACGGCCAGGGCGAGCAAGCGACGTGGGTGCCCCGAGAGACCTAGATGGTACCTGCAGCCAGTCGACCAAAAGTGCACACCTTGGTCACCCACTGCTTCTGCTGCAAGGTACATGATGGTCAAACGAACCAGTGGGTGGAGATGCCTGCCTGGTCGGATCGTGTCAATGTGCGGTCACGGACACTAGCTTGAGCTGGGTTTGTGGGTGCGTTTGCCCTCATTGTCGTCTCCGAGTGGTGGTTCACCTCACCCACGTCTGTTAGTCTGGCGTGTTTGGTTCTGGTTGAGGTGCGCATGCTCCTTTGCTTTGCCTTTTCAAGAGGCAGGTTGTCTCGGTCAGCCTCTCATCTGCTGTTCTGCTCCTCCGACAAGTTCAACAAGTTCAACAAGTTCAAGTAGCCTTGGTTGTTCCCTCAAGGGAACGCACACAAATCCTCCTTGGATTCATCTCCATTTGAGTAGGATCTCTGCCAATTTAACTGGGGTCGTTGGAACCACGGAAGGGTACCCGATTGCTTCCCTGCGCTTGTCTTCGATCCGTTACCTTTCCCGATTCCAATTCTTCCGTTCCCTTTTTCTTCTTTTTATTTTTATTTTTTATATACTTTCCCCACCCTTGACTACCCCTCCCTTTCTCTCTCTCTCTCTCTTTCTCCCACACACGCCCCCCTCCCCCCACCACACCATTGTACCACTGTATCCGTGCTTGCTGCACGGCACGGCACCGGGTGCCAGTGTGTATTGTACCGAGAGACGATGATAGCAGCTTACCTGCCTGTTCCTTCTACCTGACCCCCGGTTCCTTCAGCAGCAGCAGCAGCAGCAAGGTACGTACAGACAAACCAGTACGCTTACCGAGCCAGTGTCTTTTCCTGTGTAAGAGACTGAGGCGAGAGAGAGACAGAGACAGAGAGAGAAAGAGAGAGAGAGGCTCAACGCTCTGCGGACAAAGTATTTGGCATTCCCCCTCCGCCTCCGGGCCCTCCCCAAACCCCTCCAAACCCGAGGCACAACAAGTAGTGTCTCTGTAGTGTCCTGTACGGGTGCAGTCTGTATCCGAACATTATCAAACAAAAACATATGCTCTTCCCCCCCCCCTTCCCAGTCCGTTTTCCGCATTCTCTCTTCTGCCCCCCCCATCCCCTGGCACATTTGTTCCCCTCCCCCCCCCCCCCCCCCTTCAAGGCTCCGACAAACGAAAAAAACACACCCCTCCGCTCTCATCCCCTTCCCCCTGGTACCTGACCTGCATCCACATCTTCTTCTTCCCACCCCCAGCAGAGGAGGAGACCCAGAGAGAGAAAGAGCAACGACAAGGTCGTAATCGGGACTCTCACAGGCCTTGTCGTTTTTCTTTCGTCTCCTTTCCTCGCTTTCACCCCTTCCAAAGGGGGAAAAGAAAGGGATCAAAGTCACACTCATCAGAACCCACCCATTGTTTGACCAAACCCAAACCAACTCCGACACCCCGGTCGCCTTTGTCCTCGAGCTGCCACCAGCGAGCTGGGTCTCGTCGTCCTCCCGGCCCTAGACAGGGCAGGGCAAGGAGCAGGACGAGGGCCCAAACCCAAGACATGAGGAGACGACAAGGACCCAACTGACCAGAGCCACATCGACACCCGCATCAACCGGGTCCCCCAAGTTCAAGGGCCCCAGAAATCCGCTGTCTGTCACGCTGCTGCTGCCACTGCCGCTGCTCCAGTTCCTGACGAAGCAGGCCGCAGCCGAAGCGGACGCGGCAAATTCTGCAAACATGTCCCAATACATGTACACCAGCATCGCCCCCTTACCTCCCGTCTTTTCTCGCATCGAATCGTCCAGGCCAAAGACTGCCGCCTCGCCCTCACCCTCCTCCTCATCCCTCTCCACTACCAGCATCACAACTGCCACCACCTCGGCCGCCGCCAATACCAAGCCCGTGACCGACTCAGCATCGTCACCCACCTCCCCAACGTCCGCCGCGACACCGCCCACGCCGTCGTCGTCGTCCTTCCCCTCCGCCGCGAAGTCGTCAGGCTCTTCTTATCACCCGCCGTTGTCGAGGTTGAATTACCGCAACTTCAGCCAGCGTCACTCGTCGGCCCGCCTGCAGCATATCCGCACCTCCTCCTCGTCCTCCGCGTCCCGTTCATCCCACGAGACCTCGACGACTCCCACCTCGACCGGCTCCTTCATCCCGCAGGCTGCCTCTCCCACCGACAGTCGCACTGCCGCGTCGCCAACGTCACCAAAGAGGCACAAGCACAGACACCACCACTCGCTCCAAGAGGCACACGGCGGTGCCGCCGACCGTCCTTCCCGCACGCGAGCGCCACCGCGCCTCCGCAAGGAAAGCGGCAGCCTGGGCTCCTACGCGAGACTGGCCTTCCAACCCCCATCTTCACCCCGCGTCGGCCTCACCCCTAATGAGTTGAAACATGTCGCCATGCTCGCCGACACGGACTCCTCCGGCCGTCACCTCGCCGCCCCAAAGGCCAGCGGACTTCCCTTCTCCCGTACCGAAAGCCTGTCGTCGGCCGCCCCCTCGACGACCTCGCTGTCTGCTCGGACAATGACATCGTCTGACCCCACATTCTCCTTCGACGCCTCCCGCCCCTATGCATTGCGGAATGGCCGCACCTACCTTTCCGACCCGTCACTGGCCTACCCGCTGCCTGTCGACCTACAAGAGATTCACCGCCAGTCACTGCGCACGCTGATGCTGACACAAGTGTTCGGCGCTCCTATCTGCTCCAACTCCTTCGCCGAGAGTCCGCCGGGCCGCGTTCTCGAGGTCGCCTGCGGCTCGGGCTTCTGGAGCCAGTCGTGCCACCAGTACTTTGCCCAACGGGGCCACTCGGACGTTGAGTTCACCGGAATGGACATTGCGCCCATGGGCGCCAAAGCTGGCGACGTGTCACCCGAGATGAAGTGGAACTTCGTGCAGCACGACATGCGTCACTTCCCATGGCCTTTTGCCGGCGGCGAGTTCGACCTGGTCATGGTGAAGGACCTGAGCTTGGTGGTGACGTCGCCGCACTCGCTACAGGCCGCCATCGAGGAGTACCACCGCATCCTGCGGCCCGGTGGCACCGTCGAGTTCTGGGATAGCGACCACCAGATCCGAATGCTGCGCCCCCACGCCGGGCCTCAGTCGAGCGAGTCGGAGGAAACGGCCGCCGTCGCGGCCCTCGGCGCGTACCCTATATCGGGCAAAACGCCGCTCAGCGCGCCCCTGAACAACTTTCTCGTAGAGTACAACAGCTGGGTCCACCGCGCGCTTGAGGCCCGCAACCTCAGCCCTGTGCCCTGCACCCTTATCGGTCCCATGTTGCTCCAGGAATCGGAGGAACTGACGGATATACACAACAAGCGCCTGGCGATCCCGCTATCCGAAGTCCGCTGGGAGCGCGAGGGCGTCGGCGGTGTCGTTACCAAGGATGGCAAGTCCTTCATCAAGTCGGGCAAGGGCAAGGGCAAGGACAAGGACAGAGACAGGTCCGACGAGCAGAAGAAGACGTTGACCGAAGCCCAGACGGCGCTCCGGCGCACGGCCTTGATGACCGTCGTGCAGCAGATCCAGAGCCTGGAGCCGATCCTGCGCGAGGTCAGCGGCAAGAGCCAGGACGAGTGGGACGGCTGGATGGGCAAGATGATGAACGACCTCATGAGGGAAAACGGGACCAGCTGGGGCGAGTGTTTGGAGGTTGGTGCCTGGTGGGCACGCAAGAGGGAGCGGTGATGGAGAAAAGAAGCCAGCGCGCGCGCGCGCGCGCATATCACAGAAGTGGTACAAGGGTGGTAACGGAGTTTGCATTACGCCCTGTTGGGATGTTTCCTTCCCCCTTTTCATCCTTTTCTATTTCGTTTCATCCTTTGGGGAAACGCGGTATACGTCTACGAGGTCTATGGCTGTCGCGCCGTCTCGTCTACATCCACGCCCGCCCGGCGCGACGTGGTCCCTTTCACGCCCCCGGGACATATCGCTTCCTCAGCGTCCGATACCGTTTGAGATAATACCTGCATGAGCATATCAGCATCGCCGGCGCCGGAGAACTGAGCAAATGCCAACGGACAACGAAAGAAACAAAAGGAAGGAAAGCAAGAGAAACTAAAGAAAGAAGAAAACAACCGAGCGGGAAAGGAAGGGAATCAAAAGGAAGGAAAGGGGGACAAGGGCAAGAGATCCAGTTCATCATCGAGATACCCCGTCATCTACAGTCTACATCTATATCCACATCTACATCTTATCTATCATATACAGTCATCAACCCACTATGTTTGGTTACAACATCATCTTGTCATATATACCCCGCAACCCGTCTCCCCCTTTAAATCGGGACGGAGCATGCCTGTGCATACTGTACGTGTGAGTGACACAGAACTCTTTGTGTGTATAAAGAATGGGAGATTGATTTTTTCTCTTTTCATCAAGCCAATGATATATACCAACGTTTTCACCTGGAGTGTGTTTCGTGTCAAATTATAGATGTGTCTAGACTTCCAGAGTGCTCACCCTCGGCCACGTACTGACGCGGGAGAGGGTGTCGCCGGGTGCATGTGCTTTGGGAAGACCGGCATGAAAGGGTATACATATATATATATAGAGTATCGGACGGTTCTGGCGATTCTGCCTCAACGCTGTCCGGAGACTGTATAGGTAAGAGGAGCCACAGGTGTGTATGTGTGTGCAACGGACGCGAAACGAATACTCGTGGACGGCGTGAAGCCCCGGAGACGGGGGGTGCTGGAGAAAACGCAAAAGCGTATAGTGTGTGACTTACAGAGCTTCGATTTCTGTTGGTGGAGGGTGGATGGTCAGCTTTCTGTTCTTTTCTTTCCCGTTTGTCCTATATCATTGGGCAACGTGATCCCATGGACCTCGTTCACACACGAGGCCGAACCTCTCGCAACGAACGTCAAAGAGGGGAAAACGAGACTCGAGAGGGTTGTTTGTGGAGGAATGCCAAGCCTCGTGGATCGGGCTTACGACCCTGGTGCCGAGGCAAGGGAGACGGTATCTTGCGAAGAAGGATCGGTCTGGGTGTTCCGATGGAAGCCCGTTCCACCCCGTCCCCCGACGTGGCCGTTCAAAGGGGAAAGGGATTGAGTTTCGAGCAGCGCTTGCCTTTGCGTCGAATAGAGGGCTGAGTGAGGGATGAACGTCTCATGCGTGACAGCTTGGACAACTGGCCGGGAGACTGACTGACAACCACGCAGGCCACCTTGACAGGCACATGCCGGGCTTGTCTACATTGAAAGACACTCGAGGCCGGCGTGTGCGGTGCGGAGGCGCTTAGGAAGACGCGGGCATCGGAGAGAGAGCCGAAGTGCTGTATGACAGGGGGCGAGAGGCGTGTAGGTAGGACGTCGCCGGGGGAAGGGGTTAGGAAGGGGAGTTGGTTCGATGAGCGGAAGCCTCGGGAGGCGTTATCGAGTGAGACAGCCTCTGTCTGACACGCAAGAGCCCGAGCATGGAAAAAAAGGGGAGGGTACAAAACGCCCCTTCCCCCCGGGCAGGCATCCAGGCTTATGATCAAAGTGGGAGAGACAACCAGCTACGGTGCTTCCTGATGACGGTGGATGGTCGCAATTAGGGGGGGAAAGGGTCTTGACGGCGAAGGCTGCCATGGGGGTGACGTGACGATGTGTCGTCGACAACGCCTAGGATGTGAGTTCCAGGAACAAGGGGCAAACGGCTGTAGCGAAACGAACCTCGGACGAGCCGAAGGTCAGGGATGCAGAGCAATGGGGAAGGAACATGCGGCCCTAATGAATATTCGAGAATTGTGCCTCGAGACGGAGGGTTGTCTGGCGATGCCATGGATACCAAGACCAACAGGCATAAGAAGAAGATTCTCCCGGCTTGGTATTGATAACCCCAGGGTAGAAAGACAACAAGACAGGAAAAGAAATGGCTCGCGCGCTTGCAGACGCAATGGAAAACCAGCGTTGGAAACCGGCGGCAGGGGAAGCCGAAGTATACGGCACTTGCCCGGTGGGCGCGTGTAAGTCTGACCCCCCAGGGGGTCGTCACGACCGAACGCTTCCCACATCCTCAGTCTCTCGCAGCACACATTGCCAGACAAAAACTCGTAAGAAAACAGCGACAAGGGGAAGAAAACAAGAAGGAAAGGAAAAGAAAAGAAAAGAAAGAAAGACAGAGGAGAGGCACAAAACGTACCCTTCTTGACGTACTCGGCCCTCTCGATGCCCCGCCTGATGGCGTCCTCGTCGCGCAGCCCGGCGTTGGCACTGAAGGCCTTGTGCAGGCGCGGGCGGAAGTAGTCGTAGCCGAGGGGATACTCGCGGCCGAGGTAGAGAAGCTCTGCATGACCCCGGCAATACACGCGTTCGTCAGTGAGAGAGAAGGAAAAGAAAGAAGAAGATGAAATAAAAAAAGATGAAAAACGCTGTTCTCCCGAGTTCAACCAGAGAGAGTATAGAATCGATATATGTATATAAACCCGGTAGAGGAGGCTCGCCATACACACACTTGCTTCCAAACAATAACCCAAACGAAAGACAAGGAGAAGGAGAGAGTAAAAAGAAGACCGAAACACACCTTTGTAAATACCAATCACCCGCCTACGCAGTTCGCTGTTGACGGCGCCCATCTTCGGTTACGGATGGCCCTGTAGGTTGTCGTGTGAGGGTTTTCGAGATGTCAATGATACTATCATTGTCCCGCGCGCGCTCTTCCGTTGCAGCAAGCAGCTTCGAAGCTTCAGTGAGGATGATGTAAGAGACCCACTCGCGGTGCCACTGACACCGGTGATTGGCCGAAGCTCTCGGGCAGGGAGATCCGCTCACGTTACTCCGTATTCCGACGAACTGAGCTGTTTGCACGCGCGTGCGCGTACCCACGCCCATCATCGTCTCCTTTTCATCAAACCGCGTCACGCACGAAGAGCCCCCTTCTGGCGCCCGCCCGGGAACGAACGAATCGAATCGAATCCACCTCCCCCAACATGCAGGCCACGAGACTGCTCTCCCAACGGGCGGCGTCCGTGGTGCGTTATTATAAAATCGACAGCGGGCACAACCATGGTGCGCTGCAACAACTCGCTCTCCAGAATTTCAACAGGGCCCTGACGAGACCGGTCCCTCCTTTGCGAGCCGGCCGCGACCTTTTGAAGAGAATCGGCAAGTGCCTTGCCTTCGGTTGCAACCCCCGGCAGACTGCCGACGCTGCCGTCCTCGTTCGCACCGTCGTGAACGACTGGGATCGTATCGAGATGATCATAAGGAATTGCGGCACGGAGGAGGGCCTTGTGTACAAGCAGACGCTACGGGCGGCCGACGAGACGAGCCTCGCCGCGTCCGAGCCGACCTGGAAGGTGAGTCGTAGGCATGCACTATTCGACTCGAGTGCCATAAAAAAACCTCCCGTCCCCTTGTTGTCCGTCGTCTGTCTGCAAGTGCCCGCCCGCTGACCTGGTCTCGTGTTTCGTACCCTATAGCTCTGGGGACAGCGTCAACAGCTGTCGCAAGTAGCTGTTCAGGCCGTTACGCACTTACTGAACCACGCCATCGCCACGGCCGCCCCCGCCCACAAGTCGATATGGCACGCGCTTCGATCTGGGGACACGAACAGTTCTCCAGGGGGGCTGGCTTTTACCCATGCCGATTTCAACTTTGGACATGTTCGCCTCCCCCTTGACATCATCACCGTGTGCCCAAACACACCTTACTGACCACCGTGATAGGCCAGCAGAGCGGAATTGGGAAGCCACAGCGCTTACACTCGGCTCAGGTCCTTCAAGGTCTTCAGAAATCGCGCCTGTCTATCTTTCGGGGTTTTCATACGCTCAAACATACACATGGCCGTGGTAGCAGACGGCGTTATCCATGCGACGACCAACTTCAACGGTGCAACGCCTGATGCAATAGCAAGTCTCGAGGAGGAACTGGATCGGGTGGCAGGGTTTCAACGCGATCCAGCTACGCACAATGAGGCGAGACGACGACATGCCTACATCTTGCAAGCCATTCAGAAACTGGAAGACGAGACTTGGAACAGGAATGACGCTGTAGAGTATTTCGGTTCCGCCTCTCCCGCCTAAGACCTGGACCCATGCTCCGGAGCCGCTTCCACCTTCACGTGGCACCATGACGGGGATACCGCAAGTGTACGACATTCGTGAAGGAGAGCCTGGGCGTAGTAGTGTGTACCTATCTAATACCACAATGTAGACTAGATCTGGGGCCCATCAACAAGACTAGGGCTCCGCGTGGCTCATCGCGGCGCGAAGCCGCACGCAATCTCCGCCAAGATGGGCAAGAGTGGGTTCGTTCATATCAGACCGCAACGCAGCCGCGAGTCGGGACAAGTTGTGGGGGCGCGGGACTCTCAAAAGGGGAATCATACCCGTCAGGCTGGCAGCGGTCTCCGATGCAAGGGCGAAGACTCCCACGGCTGGAGGAGAACGAGGCCCTTTGGCCCCGGACGCGGCTCGTTGTGGAAGCCTCGTGAAAGTGCTCTGCTGCCGCATAGGTAGTAGCTGTTCAAGAGCTGTGACCGGGGAAACATTCTGGGAGCAAACCAGGCATCGACATGTGCCGTTGAGGCGTGCGTCTCTTACCGCCCCCCCAGCGTGATTAGCCACGACAGTACTCATAGATGGTCACATTGGTACTGGATGGCAATCGTGTGGACTGTACTGTAGTGTAACCTTTGACCAGCAATCGTGTGGATCGGAACCCCTTGGACCTATCCATCCGGTGCGCGTGTGGTGGCAACGGAGCCAGCTCAGTGGGATATGGCTCTCGAAAGGACGACAGGTGCAATCTCAACCCCTTTTCTTCGGGGTTTTTTTTTTTTTTTTTATGGAATGAGAAGGCCAAAAGGAAAACTCTCCGGCCTCTCGGGCGTGGTCCACGATGATTCGACTCGACTCGACTCGGCTCTGTGTCTGCCGCTGGAAAATTCGAAGTCTGGCTCGGAGGGGCAATAAAGTGCACTAGAGGATCCGCATCGCAACGGAGCCGCCATCACGCTATTACGTTGTGCCGCCTCACGTCTCATGCTCCTCGCGCCGTAGGGATGCATAAGAGGGGGCGGCAGGCGAATGAGCTGCCAGCAGTCAAACGACCAGACCGCCTTACAGCCCTTTGACATAAGCGCCACAGTGCGAAGGAGGCGGATGGCGAGAGAGCTGCTCTGAGTTCGATCCCACCAAGCAGCGGCAGGAATATACTGTGTAACGGTCTGCAGGGCACGCCACTAAGCTTTCATCTCTTGACCGCATGGAGGGGGGAAGCCAGGCAAGGAGGAGGATAAAGAGGGGAAGGGCTCCGAGGTGCATGGAAGGCGTGCCGTGCTTGTGCTACTGCAAGAAGATGGCGCGCCATGAAGCTTATTCCAGGGCAGGAGTAATCTCGACGGTCATGACTAGGTTGGCCGTTGTGTGCGGTCAAATCAAGCGATGCCATATCGCCGGTGGTGTACGGCTGATTGACGTAGACTGTCATATCAAGTTTATTGACGCCGTGACATCGCCGCTCCTCCCGTCACGCGCTTGTCCAACTTTAACGACGATAGAAACCCAAGGAGGGGGGCGAGCTGTGCCACTGACTCTTGCAGAGTGCTCTCGGTGACCGCGAATCAAATATCGCATCTGCAAATTGTGCTCCACGGCATCCCGAGTCAGCAGCCCACTTGGTCCGAGCCGGCTGTGGCATGGAAGGCAATCTGGCAGGGGGGGGGGGCGCGCCACTGGTCGCGGTCAAATGCCGACAGCCAGATCGACTTGCTTTACCGCTCTGCGTCTAGTCTACTCCCGCTCTCACAGATTTATGCCCAGGAAGTGGGGGGGGTTTGACGGGCACCTGAGGTTGCATCCGCCGATTATGTCTGTTGCGACTGGTTTGTCGAGGTATGGTGGAAGAGACCTGGAAGCGGTCCTACATTGTATGATGGCTTGTCCGTCTATGACTTGCTGCCGTCCCTCACGCTCGTATGTTGTATCTCATGGAACACATGTTGATCGGAGGATAATTTAGCTAAACAAAGTGGGGATATGACGGCAGGCAAAGCTTGACCCTGCCGGCATGTGGTGAACCAGTCCAAAGCGATGTTGAGACTCTGCAGCTCGTTTGCTCGTGACCGTCTTGTTCACCTCACGAATTATGTTGACGTTGAGAGGGGGTTATTTGTTGATTGGGGTGAAGTGAGTGTCGGAAGCGGTCAGCAGTCGGCGCCCGTCCAGTGTCGCGCCGGCTCGTCCGGACAGACCAAATGAGTGAGTGAGTGACGTCGAGCCGTCGAGTAAAGAGCAGCGAGGGCGGAGGCGCACTGTCTCGGTTCTTGCCAGAAGTGGTTTGTTATGTTTCGGGTGAAGAGGGGATCGTCGCCGCCGCCTGGGGAAAGGCGACAAAGGCTTGGGGGCACATCAGAGGACAGGGCCGCTTTGTCTGGGGCCTGCGACGGGTCGAAAACAGCGATGCGGACGGACCTATGACTCCCAGCCGTCAATCGTTGACTTGACGCATGTAGTGTACTATGTATGCGTAGCAGAAGGGCGTTCTCAGCTGAGCAGACCGTGGCATGGTGGCTTGGCCCACAAGGCGATATCGTATTGTGGGAATGACTTGACTGAGGGTGGTTGGATGCCACCTATCTAGATGATAGAGGCAGCGCCGAGGAATAAAGAAAGCAAGCTACTACGATGCATGCGGCATTCCGCGGCTGGCCAAACAAAGATGGACGCAGAAACTCAATACCCCAAAGTCCATTGCGACCTTTGATAGGAGGGCGGCTGTTGAGAAGCTGCAGGAGAGCTGCAGCTGGTGAAGCAGTGCTCAGTAATGGTTGTGTAGGTATGTGTGTGCGATGCGTGCGTTATGCGTTGGGTGTGTGGTGGTGGTAGTGGTGGTGGTAGTGGTGGTGGTAGTGGTGGTGGTAGTGGTGGTGGTAGTGGTGGTGGTAGTGGTGGTGGTAGTGGTGGTGGTAGTGGTGGTGGTGGTGCGTTGTCAACCATCAGACGAGATGAGACGAGCCTACATCGCTACATTCTAGTGCATCGTCTACCCGCCCGTCGTCGAATTATCGAGTCGTCGAGTCGTGGGTAAAGCTAAGCTCCACCAAGGATGCTCCCGTCTGGTCGCCATCAGCTCGCCAGGCCATGGCATGCCCTGGAATTGGACGCTGGACCATGAATGTTTGGCTATGCTCCGTCAGGGCTAGCGTTGCGCCTGTGCATGGTAGAGCCGTAGAACAAGCCGCTAATAGTGTGTATCCTATGGTATCGTCGCCCAAGTCCATCACGCTTTTTTTTTCTTTCTTTTTTCGTTCCCACTGTGCGAGGGGGGTCATGGCTCTCGGTTGATTTTCTGGTTTCGTCTTTCTGCTTGGTGCCCCATGCCTCGGGCGTCACTGGCGAGCGCGTTTTGACGGCACCGCCGGCCATCGGCGTCACGATGTCGATCGTGGAACGATTGTCCACCGAGAGTCGGAGGGCACACGGACGGAGCAGCCAGTAAGAATATGGCCATGCTGTATCTACTGTTACGTATAGACTAGTAGGTAATTGCTGCACCTCGCACGAAGGATCCTCAGTAGAGGGTACTCGAAAGGGCAATCCGAAGGTAGGCTTTAGGGGCGATTGTGTGTGAGTCGGTTTACCCGGGGGCAACTTAGTCAGCGCTGTGAGCTAAATACCCCCTCCTCACGGAGGGGGCGAAAAAAGGGGGGTTGCAGTGAGAAAAGGGGGGTTGCACCCAGTCCCCGCCCTGTCCTACTTTTTATTACATTCTCACCAAAAACAAGCAATTATTTGGACACGTTATCGACAGATATCAACAGCAACCAAACTGCCTACCCTACTTCAACCCTTCAATATGCCCCGCCAATGTGATAAGAATATGACTGCTGCCAAAAAGGCTACCAAAGTGATATTCGCCGCCCAGCAACGGGCCGGCCGATTCAACCGGCCTGGCAAGGAGCCGTCTGCCGTACCCTCTATCCGCCAACTTGCCCGGCAGTATAATATATCTAATACTTCTATTCACCGGCATCTCCGGGCTCTTCGGGCTGGCCGTAACCTTCGCGCTAGCCCGGATGAGGGCGGCCGGCCCCGGTCACTTACGGAGGCCGAAGATGTAGCTCTCGGCGCATTCGTTATATGGCTCCACAAGTCCGGCTTTCCAGCCCTGCCGTTACAGGTCAAAGAAACAGCCAACTACCTCCGCAGTATCCGGGGCCAGCCGCCCGTCTCCAAGCACTTCGTTCGGAGCTGGCTTGCCGACCATCCGGAGCTCCAGAAGAAGGGCGCCATTAAGCCGGTTAAGTTATACCAGAAGAGGGCCAAGTTAGACCCGGCTCCAGTAGAGGACTTCTTTGCCCAGTACCAGGCTGCCCTCCGCGACCATAATATTGGCCCATCCGAGATATAGAACGCCGATGAATCCGGCTGCCGGATTGGTTGCCTTGGCAGCCGGCTTCACGTGATTATCCTTAAGCGGCCGCCAAAATATAACTGCCTGCCTGAAGTCGTAGATCCAGCTAATCAAGAGTCATGTACGTTAGTTAGGTGTAGCAATGCAACTAGCGACACTATCCCAGTATATATAATCTTTAAAACGTGGCTAGTTACTGCTTGGGCAGATTATTAGGTCCAAGAAGGTGTCCGCTTTGCACATTCGCCAACTAGCTTCTCTAACTAAGAGGTTATAATGGATTATATACAGCACTTTAACACAGAGTCATACGCAAGGTCAGCAAAGTATTGCCAGATAGGCCACTCCTTTGGGGACTATTTTAGTGTTAACGCATATAGTTGTAATACCTACAATTTATATCTACCTAATGGTCAACCAAGCGGACGAAGGGCAGAGTATCACAACTATCAAGATACTATAGAAAAGTCAAAGCAGCCACATCGCCTCCTCCTCCTTAATGGATTCACAGGCCACGTAAGTCTAGAGCTCATAGAATATTACATCAACTTCAACATTATTATCGCCTTTTTTCCGCCTCATATAATACACTTCCTTCAGCCAATAGATGTAGGAGTCTTTCAACACTTCAAGAAGGCCTATCAACAGGTGCTCTGTGACCATATACAGGAAGGCAACCTCACATTCATAAGGGGCAACTTTATTGCTGCCCTAAATACTATAGTTAAAGAGGCCTTTACAGCTGCCCATATTATAAAGGGCTTTAAGAAGGCAGGTATATAGCCTATACGCGACAATATTATACTGGCCCAGCTAGTAAAGAGGATATAACAAAGCAACAAGGATATACTGTTACACCTTATATATTTTTTACTACATAATGACTGCTTTAACAAGGCTATCCTTACTGCTAACTATATAGAGGAGAAATATAGCAGTACATAGAGTAGTCCTTCAAGGAGGGGATTTAAAGTAGTAAAGCAAGTAATTTATAAGGGATCTCTTACCTATAAGTACTAGTAGCAACACATTAAGGACTAAAATGCCAGACTAGTAACATGGCAACAGAAGAGCTAGTGCCAGCAAGCCATTAAACTATAACACTCCTTTATAACTAGTATTACTATTATAGATATAAAGGAGGCATATAATAAGCAAGTTATAGAGGCTACATAAGCAGATATACGGCGCCAATAGGCAGCAGTAAAAAGGATAGCCTACAAGCAAGAAAAAGAGGTCCAGCAGCAATATAGTGCTTTAAAGTATCAATAGGTAGATAGACAGATAAAGCGACTAACCTTTAAACAGTAGCTTATCCATACTAAAGAAGATCAACTATACATCCTATTCAACCCTTCAGATCCACAGTAGTATAACTTAAATAATGCTATACATAAAGAAAAATTCACAATAGATCTTAATCCAACCCCTCTACTATAGTATATACTTGACTACTTCAAGTATACAGTAAGACCTCTTAGTCAGGGCAATATTAACCAAGCATTAGCTAATGCAGCTACAGAGGCAGCAGGGCTATACTTTAACCCTGAGATCTTTGTAGACATTAATAACCCTGTTAACAAGGACGTTAATTTAGTTATATTAAGTAAAGAATCAGTTAGTATACCTAGGAGTAATAATAATAATGATAGTTGTACATTATCACCATTACTGCTAATAACACTAACAGCTAGCCCTTTAACATCACAAGGTCCTTTACAATATAAGTCATAATATTACGCTCTAAAGGATAAGATAGATAGTTAGAGGGCAACAGGGGTTATACCACAAAATATCCTATATATGCCCCTATTAACACAAAAAAAGGAGCAGTAATATATAGTAGATAATAATAAGAGTAATACCTATATTACAGTAGTAATGTAAATTTGCAGTTATCGTAGGAAAAGGGAAAAAAAGGTACTACTGTAAAGCCCTTAATTAGGGCTATTAATTGGTACTACTTTTGTTATTATACGACGTTATAGTGGTTGTTGCTTTAAGAAATGAAAAGTTGACTATACTATATAATGTACGTAAAAGTGAGGGTATTTGTGATGTGGGTGCAACCCCCCTTTTCTCACTGCAACCCCCCTTTTTTCGCCCCCTCCGTGAGGAGGGGGTGTTTAGCTTTGACGAAGGCTGACTAACACCCCCGGGTAGTGGTGCGTCAAGCGGAGCTCGCCTTGATGATCGTCAATTTATGGCTGGGGAACGGGGGAGGGCGATTGATGATTGGCGGTTGACAACAAGCTTCGGCCGGGGCGGACAGGCGATGGTTGTGTTTGGAATGTCCTCGTGGCACCTTTTACTTTTTTTCTTTTTTTTTTTCGATAAGAGATTTTGAGTACGCAGGGGTCGTGCGACGGTATTGTGCAAGAGAGCGGGGAGAGCCTGGCTCTGAGGCGAAGACAAGGGAGCGGTTGGTGCGGTTGGTGAGAGTAGAGTTGGGTTGCTTTCGAGATGTGGGATGACCACTGTGAAGGGAAACGGATCGTCCGGAGGGGCGATGTGACTGTCGTGTGGCCGTCTCTTGGTCAATTCTAGAGTCGGGTTAAGTATCATGCGAACAGCAATGATACCGACAGATACCGGACAACGGTCGGTCACAGAAGCCGTAAACAAGACGAAGAAGAGACGAAGAGGTGACTGGGAGCCGAACTAGGGACGAAAGAAGAAAGACGAGGACGGCGATGTGTCGGTGGGGAAAGATTGACAGCAGGAACTGAGGGTTCACCCACTGTCCTGTCCTGTCCTGTCCTGTCCTGTCCTCTGAGAGGAGGGATGGAAAAGGATGACGGATGACAGAAGAGAACTACCTAGGTACCGGTAGTGTGATGAGGGAAAAGCAAAGCAAAGACGAAGATGTCATTAATTTAGGTAGGTAGAGTGTGTAAGTACTTACAGGGTGTAGGGGGGGCACCTTGGGTAAGAGGAACTGAACCGGAGGAAAAAGAAAGGCAGAACTTTTAGAGTTGGGAGCCGGATCCTCACTGGTGACGGGGCTGTTCCGTGAGAAGAAGGAAGTTCCTTCCAAACAGACAGACAAACAAACAGACAGACAGCAACGCACAGAAGGTGCAAGGCGAGGCAAGGCAAGGTAAGGCAGGTGCAAGTGTGTATGTACAATGTATATCGGCAAGGCAAGGCGAGGCGAGGCGAGGCGCGGCACGGCGAGGCAAGTGCAAGTAAGTGCAAGTGCGAACGCAAGGCAGGAAGGATGGCCCCCTCTCACAACGACTACTACATGATACATGGAGGGGTAGGCATCGTGAAGGGAAGGCACGACGACCGACGGTCGATGATCAATGGTCGACGGCGGGGAGGGACGACGATGATACAATCACAACTGCCTGCCGTGCCTGCTGTTCTCCGTTCCGTTTCGTCCAGGTCCATGCCATGCCATGCCATGCAACGCCATGCTATATCCGTACTGTCATGCTGGCAACCAGGGCCGGCTTCAATGAGCAATGCAAGCGAGCTGGACGTGGAGCAGCCGTTGCAAGTAGAGCAATTGATGTGCATCGACGGACGGGACGGACAGGCAGTTGTCGGATTGTCGAAGTACCGGTCAACAGGGGCAGAGACACGAGGATCCGAGACGACGGCGACGGAGTGTTCCTCCTGGATTGAAGCCACCATTGAGGTCTGTCTGTCTGTCTGTCTGGATATCCGTCTGGATATCCGAATGTCTGTATCAGCGGTCACACACACGTGTACCTGTCGTGTGAAGGTGCATATAGCTTACATAGTAGCATCGTCGTCGCGTCACTTTAGCACCGGTGGTCTCCTGCAATCTTAACTTACTCGGCCTCTGCAGGAGGCTGCAGCAGCAATACTGCTACCACTACTCCGTACTACCTACGCAGTACAGCATCACATTGTGGGTTGGCAATGGCTAGCACAGGGGTACCCCGAGGTACACGCATGTCTGGCGAAATTGCCCCTGGGACCGCACACAGTTGGGCCAAGAGCCAAGTACTGCCCGGGTCGACATGCAAGATCCTGATCCTGATTCTGATTCTCATCGAGGGGGTAGTGTCGAGAGACGGACCCACCAAAGACGAGAAGTTGGCCAATGAGAGGTGGGATTTGGTATAGGATACTCCAAATGGACCCCATACTATTAGTTCCTTGCTCCACACTTCACCAGGAGAGGACGAGGATGAGGAAAGGTACGTACCTCGCACCAATGCCCTCCCCCCCCGGGTGCGACAGTACGTACCGACTCAGGCTTGACGGTGCGAGACTTTCCCGCTGCGCACTCCATGCAATCCCTGCTCTCGTCCGCTTTTCCTGCGCAGCCTTTTTTTAAAATAAACTTGAGGCGAGGTACTCCCTCCACCGATTCCCACTTGGTGTCTCTCCCAAATATCCCGAAACCAGGTAGTTTACCTAAGTTGAAAGGGGTGTTGTGAGAGAGGCAGAGAGAGAGAGAGGGAAAAAAAAAAAGAAAAAAAGACGGAAAAGAGGGGTGGATGAAAAAACAGGAGAAAAAAAAAGAAAAGGAAAAAAAATTAAGGGCCCCTCAACCAACACATGAGCCTCCACCACAACTATTCGGACGGAGTTCTGCCGCCTGGAGCTGTCAACTAGTATTGCTCATACAGATCTTCACACCTTAATTAACTGACTGTATTCAGCAACAATTCGCACGATTTCTCTTCTACGCCATCTGCTGCTTGCTGCTCACTTTATTTCCAGTCCCCTTTTCCCCCGTCTTATTTTCTTTTTTCGCTCCTTTCCAACCCACCCTGCCGAGCATTTCCCGACGCGAGTAATCCATCTTACGTACATCACTCCCTAGGTACTTACTTACCATAGGGGCTACCCTAGGTAGTTAGTACCTATACCTACTCACCAACCTAGGTAGCTTACATACCTGCTTCGTACCTAACACAACTTACTTTACCACCACACACAAACCTCCCCCGTTCCCAGACCTAGGAAAAAAACAACAACTCTACCACCACCAACCGCTGCCGTCGTCGCCAGCATCATCATCACCATCACCACCGCCGCCGCTGCCTCTGGAAAACCTCCCCTCGATCTTCCGCCGCACCCGACGACGCATGAGGTCCTACGGATCCCCCCGCAAAACCCGCCGCTTTGCACTTCCCCTTACGACAAGTGCATAGTTTCCTCCTTCCCCCCATTGCCGCCTCATCGTCCCGGTCGCTCTCGAGACGGCATCCCGATCACTCGTCCCCCCTTCCCCCTTTCCAGCATCCAGACCAACTCAAGTCGTGCTGCTGGCGCCCCCCGACCTGCCTTGCAAGGCTCCCGGGTCGGAGGACAGCAGAAATCGGTGCAGCGCATGCCTCGCGCTTCAAACTCGTCGAAGCGACAGCAAGGCGCCGCCAACCAACGCGATACCAGGCACGAAAATGGTCTTGTAGGCCCCGCGAAGCGAGTCACCAACAAGAAGAGCCAGCCGAACCTCGACGCCGCTCCCTCTGCCCGGAACCCCTCCGACCAGAATGCCGCTGCTTCGGCCCTCCCCTCGTCCCTCCCCAACGGTAACGGCTCCCCTAACGGCAAGCTCAAGCACCCAGCCCTCGCTGCCGCCCACGATACCATGGCTCGCGATCACAGCAACGGCGACGCCGCCGCCCCCGCTGCGAGGCGGCCCTCGCTAGGTGGCTGCTCCGAGACCTCGTCGTCCGACTCGCTCTCCTCGGGCCTGCTCAACGGCGTCGTCGACGCCAGCCATCGCCAGATCGACGTCAATGCCACCAAGAACGCCGACGTCCACCGCGACCCCGGCGGCCCTGTCGAATTCGCTGCCACCGTCCTCAGAGCTCTGCCCCTCTACGACACCCTCGCCATCCTCATCCTGCTCATGCAGGTCCCCCCCGTCGCCCTCTCCGGTATCTACATGGTCTTTACCTTTCTGACCTTCGTGCCCCCCGTCACCACTAGCTCTGGAATGAACATTAACCTGGCCGAGATCTTCGATTACAACTCCACCATGCCCTCCCTCGTCACCGTTCTCTGCATGGATGTTTTCATCCTCCTGGTCTGGTTGTTCCTCTGGCCCACCATGCAGCTTGCCATCCTCGATTTTGCAAAGCCCGTCATCGCCGCCACTCTCGGCGGCGGGTCCAATACGAGAGAGGGAGCGTCGAGGAGCGTCACCACATGCTTCTTCCTCGTCATAGGGTCCCATCTGCTACGTGGCTCAAGGTTCCACTGGTCCCGAGCCGCCAAGTTTCTCCCCGCCAACTGGCGATTCTCGCCCGACCCGGACGACCCGTTAGAATCCTTCTCTCGCGGTTTCGACAAGAGAGGGCCGCACGGGTGGATCAAGAGCGTCCTCGCTATACATATCTTGACGCAGGGCATAGTGCGATATATCCGGGAGTGGTATCTAAGAAGAGAAAAGGGCAGCGCGTCGACACAGAGCATAACGGATCCGGAAGCAGGCAAGTCGTACGCCACCGACGCGGCCGCCGACACCGGGTTTGCTACGCCGGATAGCGACACGACCTTCCAACAAAATGCAACAGTATCGAGTACAAAAAAGAAGAGAAAACAAAGCACACAGGTGCGCCTGCAGCAGCCGCTGTGGGCGGCCCTGGCGAGCACAAAAATCGTCATGGTCAAAGAGTACGAGCTGTCTCACGCAACGTCCGAGTCAGCCGGCTCCAACGCCACCGACATTCACAATCTGGGGAATGCCCCATTCGACAGCCAGGCCGAGCAGATATGGATTTCCTACATCGGCCACGACGAGGTTTGCTTCAACACCAGTCACTTCCCCGACAGCCCGAGCGCCGCGCCGAACGGTCACGTCTCGCGGCCCGCCGGGGTCGACACGTCGAAGCCCTTTTACGTCCGAGTGAACAACGCTTTTTGGCAGCCGACACGCATTTTCCGCATCCAAGACGACGAGCAGGACGAGCAACCCGGCCACCATCGGTGGTGCGGCGACATTTACGGACTGCGACCGCTGTCCAAGTACGTCTGCGAATTTGTCGACACCCGCACGAACCGAGTCATCTTTTCCACCAGCATCCGCACCTCCTTCGCCCAGAACAAGGACCAGGAGGGCTCCGTCAACCCGCCCGTGAGCACGCCGCAGTCCCTCCGCCCGGACTCGCCCGCGACGACGCTCAAAAGCACCATCAACGCAAACAACGAGCGCCTGGCGGAGGAGAAGTCGAGACTGAAGACGCTGCGCAAGGAGTGGAAGAACAAAATCAGTTCGCTCAAGAAGGAGAACGAGAGACTCGACAACGTGATCCAGTCGGCGGGCGGCAACGACGACAAGCACAGACAGAAGATTATCCAGCAGGAGAACACCAAAGCCCAGTCAGAGAAGGAGATTGCCCAGCTTGAAGCAGATCTCAAGGCGTTTGAAACAGCACCGGAAGGATTCTACGAGCGCAAGAAACAGACGGAGAAGGAGTGGTCCGCCGAGAAGGCCGTCTTCGATGCCGCATCCAAGGAGTTCAAGGAGCACAAGGCCAGCATCGCCAAGGCTGTAAAGGCCAAGGAGGACGAGCAGGCCAGCCTGCAGACCAAGCGGAACAAGATTGCGGCGCGCATCGCCAAGGTCGACAACGAGCTCGGCCGGATCACGGACGCCAACAACCGCGGTCTCGACGAGGCCGAGCGACGGCGCCAGGCGCGAGGCGCGTGGCAAGCGGAGACGGCGACGATCGAGAACAACTTCCGCGGCAGCATCGCCGACATCAAGGCGGCCAACGCCCTCAAGCAGGAGCAGGTCAACGCGCTGCTGCAGCAGCTCCAGGCGTACCACGAGCACATGAACTACGCCACCGCCACGACGATGCCGTTCGACATTCCCGACCAACACCACCACCACCACCATCACTCCCCGGCGCCCCAGACGACCATGTCCGCGTACAACCCGGCCGTCCCCGCGTGGACGCCGCCGCCGCCGCCTGCCGCCGCCCTTACGTCGCAGTACATGATGCCGGCGGCCTCGATGTGGCCGACGTCCATGATGACGGGGTCCGGGTCGGCGCTGCCGCTGCCGACGAACTCGACGCAGGCGGTCTGGGGCTACCCGCCGCCGCACCACAGCACGGTGTCGCTCAAGGCTAGAGGTCGTTCTTCGTCGATGCTTAGCGACGTCTCGGGGTTCACGCAGTCTAGCAACGGCGACGACGAGTTCCTGTCGATGCACAACACGCCCGCACAGAAGCCCATGGCCCAGCGCACGCCGGTGACGTTTGCCTTGGCGCGGCGCCAACGCAGCGATGGCGCCGGGTCCGGCGGCAGCAGCGTGCGCAGCGGCAGCGCCAGCGGGAGCGGCAGCACGCGGGACCCTCAGAGTCCGGCTTGACTGCTGCGGTCGCCGCGGTCGGTCGGTCGGGGAAAAGGATGTGGAGAAGGAGTCTGTCCGTCTGTTTCTTGCTTTGTTCGGTAGTCGACTTTTTTTATCTGAAAAAAGCTGGGAGAAAAGATTTCTTTGCTGGGTCATCCTGTCCGTACTGGTAGCGACGCGGTCTGTCCGCCGGCGTTGTGCGAGTCCCCCCCCTCCCGGAGGGGGGGGTCCACGGCAACGTCGACGGCGGATACACGGGCGCCGCCCCGGAACGGGTGTCGGTATCGATTTTTCTGTCTCGCGAAAAATGGAAAAAGTTGTGCCTTTGTTTAACCTACCGGTCTCTTGCCCCCCCTGACTTGCAAAACGTGACGTGATGCCCGTGATATAAGGACCGTCTGATTGTCTAACCAAGGCAGCTTACCCTGCACCCTAAGCCCAGCGGGAACGTCTTGTTTGACGGTCCTCTGGTTCCGATGCGACTTACCAAGAAGCCGACCACATTGGGCTAAGATGATGCTGTAGGTTTCTGAGCCGGCTGCATGTCTGCTGCCCTCCTCACCCCCCTTGTTGCTGTGAGAGGCAACGCTACCGGTCTGACAGTTCGTCTCATCTCTTTGACTTGGACCAATGATCCCGGCAGTTGCGACGGCGACGGTACACACATGTGGTGGTGGCCTTTTTTTTCCTTCATTTTTTTTCTTCTTTTTTTTCATATCATTTTATTGGAAAGTTCATCTTGGCCGTGGGGGCGCGTGTTGGCCCCATCTTCGAGGCCCGTATCAAAACACATTTTTTCCTCTTCGGTATTTTTACGTGTGAGTAATTTGGGGTTCCATCTCGTGTAAGCGAGGAAGGACGCCGGCGGTCTGGGCAGAAAGTATCAACTTGGCTCGTGGACATGGGACATGGTATACGCAACGTTCAACATGAACCTAGAAAGTCCGAGGACCCCCCCCCTGGGGGGGTTCACGCCAGCCAAAGCAACGGCCGACATGTGGGAAATAGACGCTGCGCCTGCAGCAGCGCAGCCGATGGGCATGCTAAGCTTTCCGTGCCTCAGGGCCGCCTTTGCGATGGCGTCTTGCGAACCGAACCTTATTTTTTTTATTTTATTTTATTGTGAGCCATGCGCGGGAGAGGGGCGGGAGGAGAGGGGACAAGGGCAAGGTGAGGACGAAGTTTACCGCCGTTGAGTCATCGTCGACATGGCGTCGGCGGTTGGAATATGCAGTACTGGAGGGGTTGGTTGGCTCCTGTGCACGGGTGTCCTCAACGAATGTTGACGTTCCCCGATGCTGAAGCTTCCCCCCCCCTCTTCTACGCCGCCGCCGCTGCCTCATCCCAACGGTGATACCGGTGGTGATGGTGGAGGAGGGGCGAGAGAGACCCGGCGGCGCTCGACGTGCAGAAAGGAGAAACGCATGGCGGCGGGGGGGAGGGGGGGTATACTCACATGTGTATGTGTGTGTTTCATGCATAATCAACCATCCGGGTTTAAAAAATAAAATAAAAAGGCCAAAAATCGTTCTCTCCCGCTCCTTTGGTTCACGTGGTCTTTTCTCGAGATGCCGAGGGCCCTGGAAATAGGCCCCTCATCGCAACGAGATTGGAACACGACATCTCCAAACACGCGGGGGATAAACCAAACAGAGGTCGCAGGATGCAGACAAGGAGGGGAGAAAACGCAAGCAGGGGGGGGGGGGGGGGGGGATGATATGATAGAGCGAGAGAGGGTTCGCTTGTGCGGTAGCGTCGTTTCTCGGCGGCTACGCGCATATGAAGCTGATTCGCGCTCGTCGGGCATTGGTCGATGGACGGCTTTGTTTTTTTTCTTCTTCTTTTCTTCTCGTCTGTTAATACTGTCCGTGTTAGTGTACCATTGCAGACAGGCTCTGTATGCATGAGATGGCGAGGGAAAGACGACTAGGCAAGCTGATTTGTCTCCGGGGTACATGCAGCGCCCATCCCTCATGCCTCAGTTCCCTTCCCTGGCCCTCCTCCCCCCCAATAGGCGACTCTTGCGAATCTCTGGCGAATGGCCACCGACGGATGATCCGCCTCTCGACTACTACCGACACCTAGTCGCGTCCTAGGGTAGAGACGCAGCGCCAGTCCGGGTCATGCAACCGGGTGGGTGTGGCCTGGTTGGTCGGGGCGGGACTGGCGCCGCCGCCGGTGCAAAGCGCAAAAAAAGGTGCCCCTGCGCGCAAGAGGACGGCGGACTGGTCGGCGGGTGACGAATCGGAGGGCGTAGACATGGGCCTTCTGCTGGACTGGCAGACGCGCCGTTGGGGTGCTCCCCCCGTCCATCCTCTCTGTCTAAGTCTCGGATGTACCGTTCCACTGGGGAACGTATGGACAAGTACTTGACCCTCATATGCGCGAAAGAAAGAAACACGCAAACACATAGGGAGAGACGAGAGTCTTGGCTTTGAGGTGAGCTGCAAAGTGGGAGGGGGCGGGTTCCTTAGCGCACCCATTGTGACCCCCTTTCGCCTGGAATCATCAACTTATCGAATTCTCGGAGGAGGGGGGGGGCTGGTCCGATAGTGATGGCGCGAGCGGGAGTTGATAGAGGGGAGGGAAAGCATATGGAAACGAACCAGAGCAACACATGACAACCATTCCCCCCTCCCCTTATCCTTGCCACATCGTGGCACGGCAATAGAAGAGTCGGCCCAGTTTCCTCTAGATTGATTGTTCATTTTTGGTCTCTTTTTGGGTTTCCATCCTCCCCAGTTCCCTTATCTTATGCTGACGAGCAAGTCCTGGTCGACTCCTCAAGGAGGCCGTCAGCTCCCGCGTCTCTGCATATTCCTCCGTCCGATCAAAGATCAACGCCGCCTCCGGGGGACATCCCTCCCGACCTTCCGTCTAAGCCCCAAAACCGCGGTAGATCGACACCGGGCGGACCCCCTCCGCACAGGCGTCGATTCTTCCCTCTACGTCTATCCCAAACGCAACCGGTCTGACAGGCAGAGAAAGAGAGAAGAAACACTGGAGGAGGGCGCAGTGTTTCCGAAATCGTACGACATCGAGTTCGGCTGGATCCGCCGCTTTGTTACGCACGCGTCACCACCCCGGACTCCGTCGCCCAACATCGCCAACCTTGCTTATTCCCGTACGTACAGTTGGCGGGCGAGGCATCACGGACGCCTCCATCTGCGCAAGGTTTACCTTTTGTCGAGGTCACCCCCCTTCTGACTGAGACACGACGTCTAGAAAAGCAGTCTTGAGGCTGGAAAGCCCAGTAGGCCTTTCCCACGAGTCGCCGAACACCCGGCTGCGTAGTACACAAGACGGACACCTGCTCGTGTCGCTCTCTCGTAACTTCACTCGCGGTCCGCCTTGGCGTTTCCCCGTAAGCTGAAAACCCAGTTTCTTCAAATCCCCCCACCGGCCGTTAGACCTCTTCTTGCCCTCTTTCCGCCAACCTTTGTGCGGTCCGCTCCGCCGCCGACTCAACTCCTTGTATAAATCCACCCTCACGCCAAGACTCGAGGGAAGGGATTTCCAGGACCAGGGTTCGCCAACCGTGAATAAGAACTCGACCTAGAGGCAGCGTGAACGGCGCATGCACGCCACAATCTGTGAAGGAGTCTGAAAGCCCCCGTCGCGATGGGCTTCTTCCATCGCAATAAGGTCAGTAAGACCGCCGCCGGGCCGGTGCCGGTCAAGCCCGCGCCGGTAAACGCCTCGGGTCACTATCACGCATCGCCGCCGCCGCCGCCGCCACGTCCTCCACGGTATGCGACGTCGACGACGCAGACACCGACGTACTGGCAGCCCCAGGCACAGTACCACCATCCCCCGCCTCCATATCACCACCCGCAACAAGAGCTGCAACATCAACAGCAGGTTCAGCAGCAACAACAACAACAACACCGCCCCCAGGGATGGTCTCAACACCCCCAACGGGGCCCGTACCCCCAACCCATCGTCGTGAACCAGCACTACCACCTTCACCCGCCGCCGCCCTCCTCCCACCTCGCCCTCACCGCACCGCCGGCGGCGGCGGCGGCGGCAGCGTCCCACGCTGGCGTTGGGGCGAACCCTTGCCCCTTGGGCCTCGACAAGTTCGCCGGCTCGGTCGTGACCATCGCCAAGGACTTCGCGTCGCCGCACTTCCTTGAGGAGCCCAACTTCCACCCGCACGCCGCGCAGCTCATAAGTTCCACCGCCGTCTGCATGGACCAGATCGCCGGGTGCTTCAATGACGTCATGACCCTCATTGACTGCGAGAGGCTCGTGGGTAACGAGAAGGCCCTGTTCTCGTACCAGCAGGACGGTGACGCGAGGAAGACGACCAAGAAGAAGGGGTCCTCCTCCTCCTCCTCGTCGTCGTCGTCGTTGTCCAAGGGGCAGTCGACCGCTGTCGCCCCGTCGGTGGTTTCCGGGAACTACTTCGCAAAGGTCGAGTTATACGCCAACTCGAGGTTGGCCATGAATCTCCCGCCGCTGAGGCTGTAAGAAGCAACCCCCCCCCCTTCCCTCACGAGAGAAGTGAATTTAGAGAGAGGGATTAAAAAAAAAAAAAAACCGCTGACATCCACGCCAGATACATGCCCACCTGGCCCATCCTCTGCATGGCGGCGCAGTACGCCGAGCGCGTGTACGACAACCCCAAGGGCGCCGAGCGCGACGCCCACGTCTCGGCCGACTGGAGGACGGGCACCAAGGCCATGGTGATCAAGTCGGTGCCCATGGACCACGTCGGCACCATCGTCTTCGCCATCCGCGGCTCGGCCAGCGTCCAGGACTGGGCCGTCAACCTCAAGGCGGAGCCCGTCCCGCCGGCCGGCTTCCTCGACGACCCGGGCAACTCGTGCCACGCCGGCTTCCTCGACGTCGCGCGCAAGACGGTGCGGCCCGTCGCCGCGCGCCTGCGCCAGCTGCTCGAGGAGGACCCGCGCCGCAGCGCCTACAGCCTGCTCATCACGGGCCACTCGGCCGGCGGCGCCGTCGCGAGCCTGCTGTACGCCCACATGCTGTCGACGTCGCCCGAGGCCGAGAGCGAGCTCAACGTGCTGACGGGCTGCTTCAAGCGCGTGCACTGCGTCACCTTCGGCACGCCGCCCGTCAGCCTGCTGCCGCTGCAGCGGCCGGACCGGCCCGAGCTGCGCAAGAGCCTGTTCCTCACCTTCGTCAACGAGGGGGACCCGGTGCCGCGCGCCGACAAGGCCTACGTGAAGAGCCTGCTGGAGCTGTTCGCGGCGCCGCCGCCGCCGAGGGAGAGGGAGAGCAAGCCGGCCATCTCGGCGCTGGTCGTCGGCGGGGGCCAGGAGAGGGAGACGAAGGAGAAGAAGAAGAAGAAGAAGGCGGACGTGGGGAGCCGGCTGGCGGCCAAGGCGAGCAAGATGTCGCTGGCCCAGGCGGCCAAGGGGTCCCGAGACTCTTCGGAGAGGGACGGGGGCAGCGGCAGCAGGAGGAGGAGCAAGCCGATGTGGAACCTCCCGCCGAGCACGCTCAGCTCGCCCGGCCGGATCGTGGTGCTCCGGAGCGGCGATCCCAGGGCGGGCATCAAGGACCGGAAGACGGTGGCCGAGCGGCTGGACGAGGGGGTCATCGCACAGACGGTCACGGACCAGGAGCTGCGGCAGGTCGTGTGGGGGGACCCTGTGTGCCACCTCATGAGACTGTACTCGGGGAGGATCGAGACTCTCGCAGTCGGGGCTGTCACTGGAAAGCATGGTTGAAGGGGGTTAAGTGGCGGGTTAGGTCGAAGAGCCGTGGGAGAGTAGGTTGCTCAACGGGCGGGTTTGGTGATGGCCGCGGCGAGGCACGAGACGAAAGGGGGGGGGAGGTGATTTGGAGACGGTTCTGTGGCGTTTTCTTTTTACTCGGCTGATACCATTGCTTCATGATGTTAAGGCTGGATACCTTTGATGAATAACGAGTTATGATTCCGTTTTTACTACAAGCTGCTGATGGTCCAGACGGCGGCCCCCATCATGTCTGGAGGCTCTGGATGGTCCGAGAAAAGGTTGGCGTGACTTGAGATGTGTGTTAGTTCCCTGGACACTTCTCGGGGGACTCTATATTCGCTCTTGTTGCTAGTCTCTACCGACGCTATTCAACCAGCTCCCCGGAGCAGCATATACAATCACACGCTTCGGGATTCCAGCATGGCAACTTGGCAAGATTCAGACAAATGACCTCTTGCATCCGTCTAGCTTAACAAGTCAAAGAATGGATGAATCTTTGCATGCTCCCAAGCACATTTTACTTATTTATTGTCACATAACAAAACAATACCGTTAGTTACATAGGCAGTAATAGTAGCTTATATATTATAATATACCCCCTAGATGTAACCTTAAAAGTCAGATCTAAACACACTTTCAATAAAAATCTAGTTAGGTACATCTCGCTAATTATAGGTAGTAAAGATCTATATAGACTCAGTAGGATTTTTAACTAGGGGACCCTGATAAGAACTAAACCTATAGTGCTTAAGATCTATAGCTAGTTACTACACTTAAATTAATATATATACTATTATAGTATATAGTAGGTAGGAGCTAGGCTTATAACTGTTATATAATAAAATAACACTGTTAGTTATGTAGGCAGTAATAGTAGCTTATATATTATGACATTTATCTTCTACGTCATCGAAACTTAGTATTACAGCAAATATCTTTTTTCTTGTCTGATACAGTTGGCAATTTTGCCTTCGATTCATCGTTGTGCCAGGTCCAGCCTAAAGGAGACGATCACGACGTGATCATGTTCAACAATCAGGTCAAAATCATGGGGGTTAATGAGTCACTTTACATTCGACCCAAATCTCAGAGCGCGAGAGCACCGATGCGTTCGCATGGCTGGCCCCGTTCATCCCACACACGTAGTTCAAGGAATTGAGGCTTGCAGGCCTGGATTTAAGCAGGTTTTCAAATAGGTATAGAGGCGTGTATATCTCTTGGGCAAGGCAACACCAGACCTCGGCATAGTTATGACTGCTTAGCCACCTCAGGATGACGATCCCCAAGCACCGTGCCCGTCTTGGTCAACAGCGTGCGGGGCACAACTTCACAACTAGCCAGATGCTTCAAAATCTTGCTCTCTCTCCCATGCATCTTTTGTCACCCAAGGCGCGCGCTCATCTGGGCGAACTCTGTTGTAGTGTTCCGAAGCAGCTTTTGTTGCTCTCATATTATATACATAATCTGGGTGGGTTCATGAATAAAGGTTTAAAGTTAAACCTCATTGTTACTGCCCACACCGAGATAGGCTCTGTCCTCATTTCCCAATGGTGGTAAAGGGCGCAGCCAAATATGGTATGCCAGAAAAGCCTGGTAAGAGTCATTGAGACATCATAAACCCTGAGGCTGGAGAGGGCGGGAGAGGGGTCATAATCCATGTCGGCGTTACGCTTCGTTGGCATCTCGCAGGAGACACACAGAGTAGAGTCGGACGGGGGTGGGTGACAGCCGTGTGGCTGAACCATGGCTCTCCATGCACCAGATACTAATAAGGGGAGAGAAATGACGTTCTGGACCAGCGACCAGATTTGGCCATGCGTGTTCACCGCATAGCCAGGGCGCCGATCCCCGCCGTCAGGTTGAGGCCGACGGTCAGGTTCCCCAGCACGGAGCCGGCCAACCAGCCGCCGATGAGGCCGTTCACCTCCTGGGGCTTCTCCCGCACGACCCAGTGCGAGCCGTCCACCTCGCCCCGGGCCAGGCTGTCAAAGTACACCTCCATGCCCGTCGACAGGATTGGCGGCAGCGCCGTGTCCCGCGACCCGCCGATGTACAGCGCGGGCTGCGCGTACTTTGCGGCGTAGGCGCCGCCGTCCGGCAGCAGCGCCAGCTCGTCCTGCCAGTTCAGCTCGCCGGTGCGGTACCAGTTCAGCGTGCGGTTGAACGGGTCGGCGGCGTAGTTGTCGACGTAGAAGTCGAGCTCCTTCGTGGCCATCAGCGGCGTGTCCTTGGTGACGCCGTCGAGCTCGTCGAGGGCGAGGCCGTCGCCGCTCGAGCTGAAGGCGGATGCGCCGTCGGGGAGCAGCGAGCCGTAGAGGGTGTTGAGGACCTGGCGCACGCGCGTGGCGTTCTGCGCGTTGACGGGGCCGATGTAGTCCTGGATGTCGTCGGTGCGGAACTGCAGCTGGTAACGCAGCGTGGGCAGCGCCAGGGCCTGGTCGACGAAGGTGATGCGCGGGGGCGCGAACGGCGTGCTGACGACGAAGAAGGCGGCGACCAGCTCCGGGTGCCAGAGGGCGGCGCGGTAGACCACCGCACCGCCCCAGTCGTGTCCACCCAGGATGATGCGCGACACGCCGAGGTGGCTGGCGAGGGCGGCAATGTCATCTGAGGCGCGCTTGAAGGTGCTGGGTTCGACAGGGTCAGCCACATCGTCCCCCAAGGAAAAAGAAAAACTTGAATTCCCTAAAGGGTTGGCGCGGCAAGTGACTCACTAGAGGCCGACATCTTCGGGTGCGTCAGTGCCGCCGTAGCCCATCATGTCCGGGGCGATGACCCGGAGGCCCTGGGAGACCAGATAGGGGATCTGCTTGCGCCATCCCATCGACAGGTCGGGCCATCCGTGGATGAGGAAGATGGTGCCGACAACCTTGCCCGCCGGCTCTGCGTGTATGTAGTTGTACGTGACGCCATTCAGCGAGGCCGTCTGGTACTCGAACTGCGGGATGCAGGCCGGTTTGACTGGCATCTTGACAGTATCGTTTTTGTTTATTATACTGAAAACGAACCCCTCAAAAAAAACGAAAGTGTATTGCAGCTGATGATGATGGAGTTTTGGAAGACACAGGCGACGGGCCGTCGTCATCTATGTAGCCGTCCTCGACCGGATATCGGCTTTGAAGCAGCGTCGCAGTCGATGTGGGGAGACGGAGCTTATTTCCCATTCGAATAAGCCCCACCTTCCCAACTAGGAATCCAATCTTATTTTGATTGCGGCGAATAGAGCCATGGTTCACTCAAGCATGCAAGCCAAGGAACCGGCGTTCAGCTCTGCGCTCATACGGCCTCGGCACTACGCCGCCCCGTACGGAGACCCTGGATGGCCTTTCCCGGACGGGAAGACGTTGCGCGGGCGATGCAGTGTACCCACAAGTTTCCAGAGGATGGTAATCCTTCTAGTCTGCCAACTAGGCGGCCTAGGGGTTCATCCCATGTTTCTATTAATACGCAGGGCTAAGTTGATGTAGTAAGAGTTATCTAATACACTCTCTCGGTCTCTGCACGTAAGTTGATCCAAGATCCGCCAGTTCCGAACGGATCGTATCACCCAACGCACGATCCAGTGACCGTGGTGCGACTGGTAACCAGTGGAATCCCGAGAGCTCAAAGTCTTCGTAAAGACGCGTGTATAAGCCAACGGAATAGCCATCGTGTACTGAATACCGTTCGAGTGGTCTGCGTTTGGATGGACAATCATCATTGGACAAGGACAACTGCGAACGTCGCATGTTCTACCCAGAACGGGGCAGAGCATGCCCTGCAGGGGTTTCCCATACCGGACAACACGTGGATAATCCACCTTCACGGCCACAGGGCGAAGGGTTTCACGTGGCAAATGAAAAAGCAAGTAAAAGGGGAGGGAGGGGTTAGAAAAGACAAAAAAAGCAAAGAAAAAGCCGGGTCTAACTTCAGCCCCCATTGAGCGGTGTTGTACGGACACAGGGCTGAGCATCGCGTTCTTGGCAACGTTGCCGGTAAGTCTACCGGTATACCAGTAATGGCAATGCTATCGAACTGCAGTTGACGGACTTTTGCCAAGTGTTACCGTTTCCGTTTCACGCAATAGCCAGCCAAGGCGGACAAGTTGCTTTTTTGTTTTCTTCGCAGGACCTGCCGAGTTTAGCACGACTGCAACTTTGGCTAGGAGAGAGAATCTGTAACTTTAGATATGTGCTGTATTGGCTTTTCTAGCACTCCGACTGGCTGAGGGCAGCGTGCGTATTCTTCCACAGGGAATGTAGGCATGAGTAAATCAATGACGATGTTGAAATGGCGGTGGGGTTGCTAGACTTAGCTTTGATTGGCGGGTATGGTTTTTACGCTTTGTTATAGATTAATAAGCAGCGTGGTCAGCGTCGGAGATGTAGGGATAGAGATATCCCGCTCTAATCAAGAGGACGACATACACAATTTGAGAAGCAATTTAATTGTCATCTTAGACCTCCCTTGATACCATCCCACAGCCTTTCTTACTTGATTCATAACCGCGAGTGATAAAACAAGAACCCTGGAACCCTTCACCTACTGGAAAGGTGTAGGGTAGAAGGGACCAAAGCGGTGCGGTGATCTAGAGAGAAACACCAACAACCTCTAAGGCAACACAAGATGCTCCCTCGATCGGTCCAAGGTTTGCCTCGATTGGAACATCCAGTCTCTCGGATCCGAGGCAAGTGCTGTCTCGATCACGGGAGGAGAGTGTCTAATCAGAGGAAGTCTTGTCGCGATCAGAAGGGTAAAACTCCCAATCGTCTTGTGTTATCACGCTCGATCAGCTCACTGATTGAAAGGTTTATGGTCTGACCCGGGCAAAAGGTAGGTCTGGAAAGGAAGGGGAAAAGTTCGTTGTTGTTCTATCTATGCGATCGGGCTCCCTTATATGGGCTTTTCACTCGATCGGACTAACTACTCTTCCCCGTCGACCCGTCTTCCAACTTCCAATCGTCTTAAATCAATCTCTGAATCGCCCCGCCCTATTCCACTACCCTACTCCCCCTTTGAAGATGCCTTGATCAGGACTCCTCCTCTGATCAGTGGTGCTCTTCAAGGCTAGTCAGGACCATCTTGTGTTGCTTTAGAGGGTCTTAGCTGTCAGCACGCCGCGCACTGCACTGCCAAAGGCTCACGTACACTGCACGCTTTCAACATCTTTCTTGAAACTATGCTCACGGAACAATACGTATAGCGCGTTGTACGAAACCCTTCTAATACCAAAGTTGCAAACAACGCTGCCTTCCGTAGTGTTCTCTACGTGCAATTGGAATGGCCACACTTTCCTTCCGTATTTTGAACCCGTTGCCATACTCGGTTAGACTGGCTTTGTGAGGGTTCGGGGGCAGCAGAGAAATGGACGCAAACGGACGAGGCAGAGCCGCTGTTTAGTCCGCCAAGGATTGAAAAGCATCGTGCGACTAACCGGAACCGAGGATGCTTCAGTCTCAGGGGATGGGGCCGTCTCGGAGTGAAATACATCGTATCAGATCCCCCACGGACTGCCCGGTCACGAACGGGACTTTGACGGCACTGCAAGAGGGAGATAATGCAAGAACACAGTCTCTTATCTCAAGTATGCAAACCGGCCCGCTGTCAGCAGAGAGATAACCGTTCGGCCAAGAAATTGCAAACGTTCAGACCATTGATCTGTTCTCACAGATATGCTTATTCGAGGAGAAAGAAACCCGTTGTATGCTTAGAGCCGTGGCGCACGCGCCATTGGAGGACGGCCGAGGGTCCAGATCCAAGCCAACGTGCGGCTGAGATGGTGAAGACCGGCAGCTCACGCCCTCAGCCTGCCCCACGCGTGTAATAAAAGCCATGTTCTCTGCGTACCGAGATGGGGTTTCTCAGCGCTGGGCCTGCTCGCTCTTTTCTTTTCCCCCGACGCCTCTCCCGGTTCCCTTGCTGCCGACCCCTTGAGACATGTGGTTCGTCGGCTCTCCGTTCAGACGCCTGTCGACGAGAGACTACTGCGATGGGGTGGACGGCAAGGCCTTCTGGCCCGCGACGAACGACACGTACCACCTCGACTCCTCCGTCCTGCTGAGCTGGTTCGCCGGGAAGGCGAGCAGCTATACCAGCACCACCGCCGCTCTCTGGAACGTCTGGCTCCAGGACGCCCAGTACGACGAGAAAGCTGCGGCGGGAGCGAAAGGGTTCAGAGATGTCATTTACTGTTAGTTTGCCTCCCCCCTTCCAACCCCTATTCACCCGCGGCGGGACGCGTTCTGCTTCCCCTCCCCTCCACTCCCCTCCCAACCAGCCGCGAGGCTGACTACGGCGCGTTCGCAACGGACCCAACAGCGAGAAACTTCACCTACACCGTCGAGGGTGACAACTGGCGGTGGGTGCCCACCGACGTTTGCAACCAGACCGTCGTGTCATGCATGTGGACGGTGCCCCGCGACTTCCAGGGGACGGGTAGCTACGTCGTGGTCGCCGTCCGCGAGGCGGCCGCCGCTCTGAGCGCGTACACGGCGGCAAGCGGCCCGTTCACTATCGTGGCGTCCGCCGACCCTACGGCGTGGGCGGCGGAGCTGGGGGCTGGGTAGCCGGGTAGAGGCGGCGGCGGCGGCGACGGCTGCGGTGCGGCGTGGCGGACGCACTCGGGTCTTCGAAATGTACTAGTTCTCTATTGAAGATCATCCTCTTCTAAACCTGTCTATATGTGTCCGTCCCTATGACTGATTACAGTCTCCTGAGATGTTTATGTTTGCCGTCTAAATGTGAATATGAAGCGCTCCAACCAGCTTTCGAACAAACAGAAAATGGCAGAGATCAGCAGTACTTGAGCTCCAAGGTATTGCTTGCAGACCGCACTGCCAGACTACTCTGGCGCCACCTCCGCATCTCCGTCGTGAACACTCCCAAGGGTCCCGTTTCTGCGTCCCCGCTTCTCGAGGAAGGCAATCAACAAGATCACTGGTATGGTTAAAGCGCCGGTCACCAAGCTGGCAATGTAGCCCTTGCGGTAGTTGGGCGCATCCGTCACGGGGAAGAAGATGAGCGGCCACCACGTCTGTTTTTCTCGTCAGCACCTGCAAAAAAAAAAAAACAAAAAAAAAAAACAAAAAAAAAAAAAAAAAGACTCGGGCTGCCGCGCCCGGGGGATCGCACTCACCACAAAGGCGAAGTCGAACGAGTTCATGAAGCCCGTGGTGATGGCGCGGAGCTGCAAGTCGTGGGCCGTCAGGTCGGCCATCCACGAGTACCAGAGGGCCTGGGGCGCGTAGGTGGTGCCCATGAGGTAGAAGGCGAAGAAGTAGCCGGCGTCGGGCGGGTCGGAGATGAGGATAGCGCTGCTCACGACGAAGGTGAAGCCGATGCAAAGAGACGCCTCCCAGCGGGAGCGGAGCCTGTCGGAGACGGCGCAGTAGATGAAGGTGGCGACGATGCCGGCCGCGTAGGTCCCGGTCGGGTAGTTGTTCTGCTGGATGAGGCTGTAACCGCGCGAAGCCATCCAGAGAGGTATGACGTTGTTACCGATGGCTTGGACGCTGAGGGAGTAGACTGTGCTCGTTATGTCAGCAGCAATGTTCGGAATGGGCCAAGAAGAAAAGAAAAAAAAAAAAAAAAAAAAACCTACGCATGAAGGCGGTGGGAAGCAGCCAGAATTGCCAGCTGAGGAGAACGCGCCGGAACACGCTCAGGTCCCACGCCGTCTTCTTTGCTCGGCCGAGGCGGGTGACGGCGAGTTCTCTCTCTTGGGGAGTCAGGAACTTGGCCGTACGGTGCTCGGGCAGGTCGGGGATCGCGAACCAGCCTTTTGAGGACGTCAGCCTTCCGCATCGGCTCAGAAGGGGTTGGAGTGCCTACCAAAAACAGCGAACGGGATGGTGACACATGACACGACGACGAAGATGAGCCGCCATGGAGCGATGGGGCCGTCCGACAGAGAGGCCAGGAGGCCTGCCTGGATCCAGCCGCCGGCCATGTTGCCGAGGTTGCCAAATGCGCAAAACACTGCGGCGCGGGTGGCGAGCTCGGATTGCTTGTACCACGAGCCGTAGATGAAGTGCGCGCCCACGCTGGGTTGGCGCAGTTGTTAGCCTGTGGTTCCCACGATTGAGGGGGGAGGGGGGATCCGATGAGGACGGGGGCTCACTACGCGATGGCCGAGAAGGCACCTTCAAAGGCGTTGAGAATGAAGACTTGGTAAACGTGGCTCGCTCGGAAGGTGACCAAGGTGAGGACGCTCCAAACGGTGTTGGCGGCGACAAAGACGTAGCGGGGCTTGAAGACGGTCAAGACCGAGGTCGAGGGGATCTGGAAGACGGCATACGTGACGAGATAAATCGTGTGCATGTAGTTGAAATCCTAGAGAGGCGGCGGTGTCAGGGCCGCATCGTGCATCATCATCGAGAAGGATGTTTACCTTGCCTTGAAAGTGCAGGTCCTCCTTCATGCCGCTGATGTAGGCCGTGTTGTAGCTGGCGCGGTTGACGCCGAAGAGGAACCACACGACGGAGAAGTAGATGAGGACGGTGAAGTCGAGCTTGATAAGCAGCGAGCGCTGGACCGAAGGGGGACCCCAGAGGGCCTCGACAAACCTCGAAGCCATGTCGGACTCGGAGGCGGCGGCTGGGCGTGGTGACGGGATCGGGTCAGGAAGAAGCAAGGGCGAGGTCTCGGAAAGGGTGACGGCGGGCATTTTGTCTGGTTCGCGCCGGCCGGCGGAGTCGTGCCTTGTGCAAGATTGAACAGGTGCGATGTCGTCTTGCAGCGTTGCAGATTTCGCCATCTCGTCGATACATGCGGCACGCCATCATGCGCATAAGCGAGGTTGGGGGGAAGGTGCAGAATCCAAGATACAAGTACTGAGTAGATAGCGGCATGTCGGTCCTGTCTCGTCTCGAAAGCTACGTAAGCTCGTCAAGAGATTGCCGGATCCGTTAACGCTACTGCCTGTTAACCCCGCGCCCCCTCCCCCCCCGATAAGCAGCGACCCTTGTGGCCGCGGGGGAAAGTCCAGTTGGTGGCATACACTAGAACCATACCATGCATGTTACGTTTCTTCAAGTGCAACCGCCTCGCGCAGGTTTCTTTTCTGTGCACATCAATACGGCTGCTTATGGTATCTATAGTAGTTCTATGCCCGATGTGGGCGAGGGGTTGATCATCTGTACCGGCTGTCGCTGTAACGAAATTCGATAGGTTCCTTATCCTAGCTATGTATCCCGGTATCCTAGCTTATGTAAGAGAGGGGCATCGCGTACCCACATTTGCTTGCAGGATGCTGCTGTTCCCGAGCCGTCTTCCCGATCGTGTGTGCCCCTCCTGCCTAGATCCAGCCAGCCCTGTTCAGTCGCAGTGTGCCGATAATGGATGGGCGGGCAATTGGTTCGTCTCGTGCATGTTGATGTGTTCGTCCTTAATAAACTTCATATCGTCTCATCATCCTGTGTGGATATGAACACCGTGCCACGATATCCATACCTGTAACGCGAAATCCAGTCGCCTGCATTTATTTGACCATCTGAAAGTGTAAGCGGTTGTTTGTATAAGCGCTTCATGACCGACTGATGGCACGACACGGCTAACACAAAGCATATATTCGGTGGACAACCGTATAACTTAGAGTCACGATTTGATGGCGACGCGTCATATAAAGACAGGCTCAAGACAAGTCCTGGGCTCGCCTCTCCTATACCTTCCATGTGTCGTTCCTTCTACCCGCCATTACGGGCAATAAGTCACGGATGCATTTATACATGGTTCAAACTTAGTAATTAGCCAACAACCATGCATCTACGGCACGCCACCTGGATACAAGAACTCGGCCGATATGCCACTTGCGGCTCTCCCATTTTGCCCCTTCATCGCATCAGCATTATACGAGGACTGACAGTAATAAAAGGATGAGGCGTCGAAGGAGGCGGTTTGCTTTCTAATCCCCGACCGAGTAGATCCCCGGGCTGGATCCTGATATTATTCGCTGACCAAATTCGACGGCTAATCCGTACGCCCTTCCTACCGCGCCCAATTATGCCGACCGGTTTTTCACGCCTTGAAGTCTCTAGCCCGAGTTCGAGTGCCCAGGGCCGTAGTTTTGAGTGTATAACGAGAAAAAAAAGAGAATTCTCTAAAATGGTTCAGTCCATCAAACCTAGTATTCTTCTTCATTTCCCTCGCCGTCGGACTCGCCCTCGTCCGCCATATTCATGAACATGCCATTCTCATCGTCCTCTTCTTCCTCACTCTCATCCTCGTCGTCGACGTCATCCTCGCTGTCGACAACGCTGCCCTCGGAGCCCCCGTCCGACTCGGGCTCGGACTCAACGGGGTTCCGCTTGCGGTGCGTCATGAGCCGCTGGGCGAGAGACATCCTCTCGGGCGGCGCCGGCTCGTCCTCCTCATCCTCCGCGCTCTCGTCCTCTTCGTCCTCCTCCTCGTCCGACACCGGGTTGTCGCGGCGGTTGCGGGCGAGCTTTTCGGCGAGGGAGAGGGGTTTGCCCCCCGCGCCCACACGCTCGCCTCCATCGTCCGAGCCACCCTTCGTCTGGACGTCGACGCCGCCTTCGTCCTCATCCTCGTCCTCGTCGTCGGAGGGTAGCACTCGGGCCCGTCTTCCGGAGGGCCGCGCAGGTTTCGCCGCCTCACCTTCATCGCCCTCGTCGTCGGAGAGCACGACGCGGCTGCGGCGGCCGGTGCTCCGTGACGGTGCTCCGTCGTCTTCCTGCTCGTCGTCGTCGTCGTCGTTGTCGTCGGAAAGAATCACGGCGCTGCGACGACTTGCGCCGCGCGAGGGCTCTTCTACCTTGCCTTTGCCTGGTTCTTCGTCGTCGTCGTCGTCGTCGTCATCGTCCGAGGACACGACCTGCCGCGCGCGCCTGCCACCCGGCCGAGGTCGATCGTCGCCAGACTCCGGCTCGGGACTAGAGAAGTGGGCCGCGGCTCCCGAGCCGTCCACCATTATGCCGCCGTCCTCGTCTCTCAGCGGGGAAAATCCGCCAAAATCCGATGCTCCGCCCTCGTCGTCCTCGTCGTCGCTTGCCTGCCGCGTGTCGATCACCAAGTCGTCTTCGTCTGCATCGCTCGACTCCCCGTCGATTGTGGCGTCGTCGATACCTTCACTCTCGTACTCGTTCTGATCAGACGAGTCGTCGGATTCTTCCGTGCCGCTTTGCTCATCATCGCCAGAATCATCGGCTGCGGGCATGTCTCCGTCGGCGGCCCCATGCTTTGCCACAAAGGCTTCGAATCGGTCCGCCGCATCCCAGCCGAAGCACATCATCTGCCAATAGTCGATCTCGCCAAGATGCGCGACTTCCTCGTCCTCCATAAAGTCCGGGCGCTCCTCTCTGATTTCTTCTACCTCTGTCATGGCGGCCTCGAACCGTTCCGTCATCCCGGCTTTCTCCTGCGCAAAGTCACGGTGATTCTCGACGTCCGGCCAGCAGTAGACAAAGTGCAGGTCTTCGCCAGTGTGGACGTTCTTCCGGAGCTGCTCGATCTCGTAGCGGTGGATCCTGTCCGAGGTGCACCAGCGCATCCTATGCGGTATGTGGCGGTCATTGTGCCAGGTGAGGTCGAAGACGTTCCTGAGGTTAGGAAACGCAAGGAGCAGCCGCATTTCCCATGGGTCTAGGTCGGTGTCCATGGCCAGGTTCACGACGTTTTCCGAAAATCCTGGGAC